ACTAAGAGGCCAACATTATCACACAGTCCCCTTTGGGTGGAATGCGTAAAACCCAGGTTAGAACCAAGGTCAGAACCTCAGATGAGTCGCTCAATGAGCATACATTGGGTTCGAAAATCTATCTCCTTTGGGTAGATAAATTCTCTAAACCAAAACACCTCCAACAACTTCATCTACAAATTTCAAGAATAAGCTACTCAATGAGCATACATTGAGTTTAGAAATTTATTTCCTTTGGGTAAATAAATCCCTTAGACCAAAGCATCTCCAATAGTTATATCCTTAATCAACCACAATCTTTACATACAATTATCCACCTTTGGGAAGACAATCACAGTAATGACTTAAAATCATTCCTCAAACTACAAAGATACTTTTATAAATTAAAACGAGCGATCTCACTTTGGTGGTAATCACACACAATAATTTATAGAGTTTCTTGCATAGGAATTAAAAAAAAATTCTTGCCAAAATAAATCATGAACCAATCATGAATTTAAACCATATAACATTCCTAATAAATTTTGTCTTCAACAGTATCAATCTCAATATTATAGAGATATTATATAATATTTCAAAATACTTGACAAAACAAATATATTACAAATTTATATAAACTAACATTTATTTAATAAAATTTCCGAAGAGAAAATTATAATAATTTAACATTAGATTTATATATACGAGATCAATAAGAATACACGAGATCAATAATTGTTAATGACTTTTAATTTTAATGGCTTTACAATTTCACGTAATGACTAACCATTATATTAAATCATAATTATATATTAAGAATAATAAATTGAGTCCTAATTCATATAATTTAAGCTCTGATACCAAATGTAAGCGGAAATATTCATGGATATTATATGAGATTAAAATATCAATACTTACTTGTTGAAGTCATGATTCATAATTCCGAATGGATGAATGACCAGATCTTCCTCTGTATCTCACACTCCCGTTCACAACTTTCAATGGGGCAAATTGTGGAGCCGTCAGTTATGTTTTTGATTCTTTTTGTGATTACAGAGGGGACCTAGCCATATAATATATATAACCTTAGTCCCTACCCATTATGGGCCCAAGGTTAAAGCCCACACTTTTACCCACACCAATCAGGTTTCAGATACTCAACTATTAATTAAAAATTGATCACTTAATCAATTAAAGGGCTTATATATGCACCCCCATCAGAATCACGATTAACCCGTTTTTCACAAATTAAACCACAATTGATTGTAGCCCATAAAATATTAGATAAATCTAACAGAATATTCAGCTAAACGGACTCAGTTGTCTGGGGGTACCGCTTCCAAGTCGACCACCTCTCTTCTCAAGTTTTCAGTTGTCCTGCTTTCCCAGATTCCCTGCACTACTCGAGAGGTCGTTCTTTCCTACCTTTAAAATCTTCCTGAAGTGGAAAATGCAAAGCTTTTCTTCTAAGCCACTTTTTACACTTACCGGACTGCCTCTCTATTCTCTCTGGCTGCTATTGGTTAGGGGAATGTTCTGGCCATAGAAAATATTTCCAAAGAAAGGGATGCCTAGAAAGGGAAGTGTTAATGTCATGTCGCCAAAGATTATAATACTACTCGTATAAACAACATTCCTTCTAGGAAAAAGATTAAAAACTTATTCTCTAGGGGAATTGACATGTTTCGTTTGACAATTGACCTTAGGAAATTCGCGTATGGTCGTCTCGCGATCAATTTTATTTCTGAAAATACGAGCTCTCACTTATCCTTAAAATTTTCCTATCTTTTCTCTGTAGGTCAATATCCCCCCCCCCCTAATTTGGTGTGTTGCGTCTATTTCCTCCAACCAAAAGGACGTCCAATCGTATAGGTAGATGGCTTGTCTAATCACGAATGTCGTTTCCTCGCCATAGGGCTTGAGAATGATTGTCCAGCAGAACCCGAGGTAAACACCCATGAATGGTAATAACTTGTGCTCGACCGAGGTGGTTACCCACTTATTTACGCAGGGCCGATCATTCTTGGATGAGGTTAGAACGATCTACCATCATACAACTTCATTTCTCTGAAGTTCCTTAACTAGTACGTCGCTAGTGTATCTTGCTTTGGAGGCGGAATCGGTTTCCAACAATCTTTCGACTATGCTAGTGGTATCCTCAACTTTCTATGGGGAACACCTTCTTATTTACTGCATGTATTTGTTCATCTAGTTGAACGATATGAGCTGACTCAATTGTTCTGCCTCTTTCATAGTTGAATGATATGAGCTGACTCAATTGTTCTGCCTCTTTCATAGTTGAACGATACGATATTTCCTTTTTCATTATGTTATGGCTAGTTCGTAAAGGATGTGCTTTCGTGTTCCCCTCGATCTACACTTAGATTCTGTTAATTTGTGACGTAGATTGAGCTTCTTAAACTAATATGGCATCGCTTTGATAGATTATAGTCTTTAATCTACAATAGACGTTCCTTGTTCCAAGGATTATGGATTCGCGTCACATGGTCGTCTCTTTTACCACGATAGTGTTAATCTGCAGTTTCTTTAGGCTTCCCTCTCAAATGAGGTGAGATATGGCGATAACAGAGGAATCGTCTTCGTTGGAAGATTTATTTCTTCGTAGTGTTAAAGATGAAATGAACTTCAAATGCGATTTCTTTGCAGTTCGACTTTAAACCAGTTGGAAGATTTATTTCGTCGTAGTGTTAAAGATGAAATGAACTTCAAATGCAATTTCTTTGCAGTTCGACTTTAAACCAAATGGAATTTGATCATAAAATTTCACGAGAATTCGACATCAATTCCCACGTACAGTGCCACAGTTGCAAATTGGAACCAAATATATTTTTCTTTTATTTCTTTGAAATTTTTTATATTAAAATTAATTTGCAAAATAATTTTTAAAAACTAAAGTGAACCGCTTTCAATCAAGCCCTTAATATTATAAGAACTTCATTACTTTGAAAAATCCTCTTTATTTTTTTCTCCCTTTTTATATCGTTTTTCAAATTTCAATGTTCATCATTTTTTTTACCCATATCTTTCATTAAATTGGCTCTTTTTAGTATTAATTAACTAAAGCAAACCCTTAAATAATGTTTGGTTCAGAAAGTGTTGTTTGAATAGAATTACAACAGTATTTACCTAAAGAAATACTTATAGAACGTACACCCATAGGTGGCATTTGTAAGAGAAAAATGTCACCTGAACTCTCCATTTTTTAAAATATAAAAATGATGTTTTCTTCGTATGATATTTTTTTCTGACAAACATTAGTTACGTTTCCTTTTATAGATATCATACATCAGAAAATATAATTTGATATGATAACCACTTCTGTTAATTAACTGGAATAACTCATATTGATGCAACAGATGAGAGTTTATTGCATTTTCCTGTCATATTCTTTCAGAATGTGCTTTCATTTCTATGCAGCTTTCAGAGGTTCAAGCATGTCCACAAGAAAACAGACATGTACAAAAATTAATGCATAGATCAGATTTGCATTTTCCCAGTTGACATTGTTATTCCAACCAAATCTATACAAGACAAATACATAAAAGACAACAGTTATGATATAAATTAGGATAACAGTCAAAGGTGGTATGTTTTTTAGCTTCCCATACCATAATAATCACTGGCTGCCTTGAAAATCAACAAGTGTCTAGAATGTTATACAGAAAAAATAATAAGTGTTATGTATCAAATATAACTCATAACTCATTTCCTATTATCCTACACAACACAAACCAGAATAAATGATAAGCTCTAAAGCTCAGCTTGTACCAGACAATAGGGTGTAGATTACATTTCCATGATTCTCCCTTGCAACTATGCAATCTAGCCTGCTATAAGTTTAAACAATAGGGTGCAGATTACATCATTCAAACAACTTAATAACTTCATCTGTACCTCAAACTGATGTTGCTTGTGCATGGATACTCTAAACCAGGAAAAGTTTACATGCCAAGACATTTCACATTAGTGCCAGAAAAACACCAAGTGATTAGAGTGAACACGAATACTTTTGTGTTATATGTATGTAATACAAAAATCCAGAGATCAATAGTTCGGTGCCAGATTTTGACATAAATCAATAAGACTGAGGTTAACATTGATCAAATCATCAAATGTCAATAAGAAGTAATACATAATAACAATCTTGGTGCAAATTGCAAGGTTGATGTAAGAATTAAAACCCTTAATAAATTAGTTAACTATAATATTTTTGTTGCAATGACAGATGAGAAGTCCACAATTCTCAACTTGCTGAGATTTTAAGTGCATCAAACATGGGATATTGTGTTGTAAAATATAGGCTATGGCGGTCTAAATTGGCGGAGTTTTTTTTGGCTTTCTGCCATGGTCTGCCATCTGCAATTGATAACACTGAGACAGGGGCATTCTACCAATCTCCTTGTGAATAACCCATCTAGTGGACAGGTTCAAAATATTTATGGTGATATAGCAAAATCCAGTGTAGTACAAAACATATAAAATAAATGAGAACAATAATCCTGTATTATTATAAATGTCATCTCCAATTTTGCAATCCTACTCAAATAGAATTGAAATTTTAAACCTATCAAATTTGTGTCAAGAAACATGAATTAACTGAGGATATTACTTTTCATCATGTGTGATGGTAACTATCTTTGAAAAGAGGATAAGAAGCAATGCTTCAAACCTTAAAAAATACAGTATGACAAATTAAATGATGTATAAAAGCTATGTCCAATCATCACCAATGTTGGTTTAGTTTGATAAGTAATACAAGGTGGAAACATATTTTATTCCTAATGCTTCCACAAAGAGGAAAAAAAACGAATCAATCATAAGAGATACAAGGATTGCTCTAAAATAACAACTAGATGAGAGAAAAAACAATTGTATTGAATGTAACCATAATATTTTTTAATACTCAGTTAAGAATAACAAGATCCTTACCAAAATTGTATGAACCTTCTGCATCTTTAACACATCAATCCATTCTCCTTAAATGAATATGCTAGTATTCTTCATTGGAAAAAACTTTTTATTACATTTCTTCTAGTATTCTCTGTCGGATAAAATCCCTTTTCGTGCATTATTTCGACCCAGTGCTTAGCTTCGTCATTTCTCCCATGATTTGAGAAACCATGCACCATAATATCATAAGTCCAACCATTAGGCTCATAACCTCTTTGACGTATCCTATTAAACAACTCACAAGCTTGGTCCATATCATAATTGGTTACTCTTCTCAGCAGAAGATTGTAGGTGTAAATGTCAAGCGGAAAGCACATCGCTATTAATTCCTCCAATTCCTCAATAGAATGGTTTACTTTTAGACAACCAGAAAATGCACCAATGACAAAGCTCAGTGTAGAAATAGGAGAACTTTCTCCCTCTGTTGCACATCTTAAATGAACACATGTATCATAGACATCCGGCGATATCAAAGAGTGAAAAAGAAGTACGTTGCCAAGAAAAGAAGTTAATCGACGTCCCATTTTCATATACACGTGAACAAGATTTATCGCTTCATGATATCTTTTCAATGAGCAAAGCGCCTGCACAAGACACTCATAGCATTCAATGCTTGGATTTAATTGAGTGTTTAACATTTCAAATAAGATATCATGTGCAATGTCAGCCTTATTAGCCTTGCAGAGACCAATAATCACGGAATTATATAATTTTCGATTGACCACATCCTGACGCCGGAGACTATTAAAGAAATTCAAAGCATCAAAAATCATTCCACTTTTCAAGTAACTATTCAACACAAGAATTTGAGAAACCATATTTGGCACAATGTTATTCCTTATCATCAACTCATATACATTCCTGGCCAACTCTGTCTTATTGGCATGCCCAGCTCCGTCAATGAAAAAGTTGAAAATCTGAACATCAGGTTTACCATGAGTCAGCATGTCTAATAAATTGAAAACACGTGATACTGGATTATCCATATTAAGTAAACTGCATATAACAGCTCTGCATGAGGTCCGTGTTAGTACAAAATCCTTCTCTTTCATTTCAACAAGAAGGCGAGCACCAATGTCTCCCCTATTTGACTTAATAAAACTCCTAATCATCTTAGAGTAGGAGAATCTGGCAGCGGCATTGTTAAGCTCCCCATGCACCACATAACCATCTTCCACTCTTCCAGCTCGGCACAAAGCCGTTATAAACTTGTCATATGTGACAGCGCTCGGCGTGAAATCCCGCTCCAAGGCAAGATGGATCAGCTCCTTCACCTCATCAACCTTGCACTCTCTACACAGCACATGGACAATTGTGGTAAAAGCTTGCCTATCAGGAAAAAACCCATTACTGAGAGAACTTTTGAGCACAGTGCACGCCTCCTTAACACTCCCATCCCAACACAGAGTAAGTATCAAATACTTGTAAGCCATTTGATTCGGATTCAGTCCAAACTGTGACCTGGAATTGTACAACTGGAGCGCAACATTCACCATCCCAGCTTTGCAAAAGAAGCACAAGACAGCATTCATGGTAACCATATCAGGTGGAATAGAAGACTCATTCATATCCATCAACAAACCATAGACATCATGAAGTCGGCTCTCCCTCAAAAGCCTACAAATCAACATGTTATACCTCTGAGAACCAGGAGCATACCCTTCAGAATCTCTCTTCTGCCTAAAAAACTCTAAAGCCTCATCCAACCTACCACCCTTCACAAGACCCTTTACAAAAACACCATAAACTTGTTCCAAAGAACCCAACCCCAAGTCCCCAAACTCCTTGACCAACTCAACAGCATGGTCAAACCTATTATTCTCACACAACGAACCAACAAGAAAACTCACCTCAGAACCATGCAGTTCTTTCCCACTCCCCAACAAACAGTTGAGATAGTCTTCAGCCTCATCCAACTTACCCTGCTTACACAAAAACTTAACAACAATAGCATCGGTAACACTAGTCGCATAGCCCTTCATTTGAATCTGACTAAGAACAATACGAAAAGCATTAAAATAATCCTCCTCAGCAAGTGCATTGAGTAGAATATGGTAAGAAAACCCATCCAAGTCAAGCCCCTGAAAACGCATTTTCCCAAACACATGGAGTGCAACTTCAGGTTTACCAGCAATAGCATAACCAACAACAAGAGTATCATTAAAACGAACCCGATGAGCGAAAACACGCTTCCGAAACGTTTGAAGAAACTCAAGAACCAACGGCACATGGCTAGCCCGGGTCAGGATACGGAAAATCGCTACAAAAGTAGCTCGTGTATGATTGAAACCAGGCTGCCGACCAGCCCAATCGAAGAACTTGAGACACGAGAGAATTTCATTATTGTTTCCTCCATGACGGAGGACATGAAGAACAACGGGTTCAGATAGAGGAAGCGAAAGGGCAGAAAGAGAAGGTGAGAAATCGTCACCGGAAGAGAGAATCTGGTAGATTCGAATGAGGAGTGGGTCTTTGGAATGGCGGTGGATTTCAAACCACGTGCTGAAGGTGGAGGCGACGTCATTTTGGGTGATGGAAAACGAAGATGTTGTTGGTGAAGAAAGTGATGTATATGATGCATAGTGAAAGTTTGGGATTTGATTGAGAATTGAATTGGAAGATGAAAAGACGGGTTTGAGTTTGAATTTGTGTTTGTGTTTGGTTACTACATGCTTCAATGGTAGCATGCTGAAGAGGAACAAAAACAAACGTTAATTTTTGTGTCTACCAAGTGTTTGTGAAATTGCTTCTGTTGTTTTTGTTGCTCTTCATTGACATGCTTAATTCAAACCATGTTTCAAACTAAAAAAAAAAAAAAAAAACACAAGAGTACTAAAAACTCATTTTTTTTACAATGGAAATTGAGATTGAAGTGTTTCGGTAACGTCAGGTTTTGGAAATTAGGTTTTATTGTGAAGGTTTTAGAAGAAAGATTGTAAATTTGAAGTGTAAGCTTTATTAAGTTTGAAGAAAGTTATATTATTTTTCAATAATCAATAATTTACTTTTAGAGAAATTATTTTTTGAAATTAAATGTATTCACTAATAATTCAATAAACATGTAGGCACTATAAAAAGAATTACTTTTTTAGCTTTTTTGAATAACCAATATATTTATATTTAATGTAGAATGTTTATTCAACAAATTTAAAAATGTTTTTTTAATTTAATTAATATACATTACACTTAATTATAACAATTGATTTATTTGAAAGATTTGATTTCTATTTTAATCATTTAAAAAATAATATCAACAAATAATGGTGATATATTAACAATGTAAAATTTTTTTACTCAATAGTGTATAACAATTAATCTATTTTTTTAATTAAAATAGTACATAGTAGATTTTTGACATATTATCAAAAAATAATGTGGTATGTGGCAGAATTTTATATTTGCTCTAAAATATTTATATCAAGATTTGATTATATTAAATTATTTTTGGTAAATTGCATATACAATTCAACTTTTAAGTGATTGGATGTTGTTGTAAGATATAACAACACTCAAGTATGTGATTCAATTTAATGGTATAAATTAATTTCATTTAAAATTTTAATTATTTTAGTACTTTTTAATTATTTAAATAATAGAACTATATTTTTTAAATATTTATATCATGCATCAAAAATTCTAAAATAGATCTCATTAATCTTGTAATTTACTCCAAATTTGTATTAAATAGTTGTACTCATAAACTACATTAATGATAACTTTATCGGTGAAGACCAATAAAATCACAACAGAATAATTTAGTGAATTATGAAATGAATGTTCATTTTGCGTTTTTCTCCTTATATAGTAGTTATGACTCACCTAACATGAAAATCCATCGATTGTTAACTAATGTCACTAATCCTTATTGATATGACTTCTTAATTGTGATTGAGAATCTGACTTGATTGTACCAAATCCCTTATTATGGTATTCTTTCATTAGGGATAAATATTCATTCAATTATATCTCAATCAGATATTGTACTACACCAGACTTGGGTCAGTATAGGCAATTTATCTCATTAGTCATTTTAGACCAACTACACTCTTCTAGATGGACTGTTAGTTAGGACGAGCTTTATTCAGGACCTGACATAAGAAATTAGACATATGCACAACCCTCAAGCATGACTCGTGTAGCAGTGAAATGCTCTTCTGAGTCATATCAAGAAACCGAACATGTATACACTTCCTCAAGCATGAATCGTGTAAGGGTGAAATGCTTTCCAAAGGCATACTAAGAAACCAGACATGTGCAGAGCCCCTCAAGCATGAGCCATGTAAGGGCGAAGTGCTTTTCTGAGGCTGATCAACCATTAACTGATGTGTCTTAATGGAATCCAATTTTTTCAAACGAAATTGCTCTTGTTTCTCAAAATGTGGTGGTTTTGGATCGTGGTTGGCTTGTATTTTACTTTTTCACTTCCACTAATTATAATTATGGCCAAACGTCTTGGAAATAAGAGTCATTCATGACCTATCCATATTTTCTACATCCCTAATTAGATAGCACTAATTCAAATTTTATTGTTTAAACTTCACAAATTCTACATTTTTGGTGTGTACAACGTTTTTGACACGACAAATTCTACTTTTACTCTTGAATTGATATCATTCCTTTAGATCGCACTGCTTCGTATTTAGAATTAAGTTAGTTTACACTAATCACTTGATGTTTCAGTGAAATTGGTGGGGGTGGGGGTGGGGTTTTAGGGGTTAGAATAGTTATAATGAAATTTTGTATCCTAGTAAATACATTCATTCATGTTCAACCTGTAATGAAACAAAAGGATAAAAGCCTTCTAGAAACAGAAGGTGAGTCAGCAAATCCGTTAGAGGGCCCACAACAAGTGAAGGAAAAGGATGATGCTAGTACTGGTGGTGGAATGTTACCACGTAGAGGAGAGAGAACGAGAAAAACGCACAGCATGTGGAAGGAATTTGTGAAACTGTGAGGACAGCTACATATAGTGGCAAAGGGGAATAATTATGGTTTTTATATGATTGGTGAAGTTGTCATTCTTCTCCCTCAAAACTCTCTTTTCACATCTGTTTGTAATTCTGCATTCCAACTGTTTGATGAAAATTTTCATAACAGATCTTCATTCTCATTATCATTGCCATTGTTAGAACTTGGTTTTACTGTTACACTGAATATTGTTTTGCAGTACTGTTTCACAACCATTCAAAAATTGTGAGCTATTTATTAAATATTTACTTAATAAATCCATAAACAAAATTTGTTTTTTTTACAATTGAAGCACTTATATTCAATTTATGTTCAATATGTATCAAATTAGATGATCATATTTATAACGTCATTGTTGTTAAACTACTTTATATTTACACATTATAATAGAAACTAGTATTGTGAGAGTTTATTAGGGAATAAAATTGTAAAATAAAGGGAAAATCCAGGTGAATGTCAAAGGAGTTGTTGATAATGGTCATATTAGCAAGATGTGAAGGTAAAGTCGGTTGTGCTAAAGAATCACCCTACTTTAACTTGTTCCTATCTTTTAAAGGGGCTTAAGAGGAATCCAACTTCCATTTAAACCTGTCACAACTCCTTAAAGTCTTGATAAAGACCTTTTCAAAGATGTTAAAAGCGGCAAGAAGAGGCTGATGTTGTGGATTTAAAACGCCACACTATCATGGGTCATCTAGATAATCATGTCACATGATTTATTGAAGAAATTTCTAGGGTCCTAAACCCTAAGGGCACAACATAAATACTTAAAATAAAATCAAGAACAAACATGACACTTACGATTTTCATTTACTAGAATGTCATAGTTATTATGCTTCTCATACGGAAGCCATTGAAGAGTGGCAAGAAAGCTTAAAGTGAAGATGAAGAAGGTAAAATGCAGAACAATGCTCTCTTATTCATTGTATGAAGATTACACCAATTATATAGTAGGAAGAGAAAGATAACTAACTGCATAAGAGAATGTAACTAACTAATAACTAACTCCTTCTGTTTTGTCATCTATTAATAGTGTTAGCACTTACATTGACAATCATTATACCAAAGCAAAAGATTGTTCCTAAGCTTGCCATTAAATCTCCAACATGTGTAGAAGAAGAAGAAGGTACATTCTTAGATTATGAATTAAATTATTTTAAAACCTTAACCATTCTCTAAGTTTTATTTTATTTATATTTTGATTTTATTTATTTAAATTTTAAAATTTTTAAAGATTTTATTTTTAAAAATATACATTGACATTTTAAGGGGTACAAAATAATTTCAAAGATTTATACTTTTGTTAAATTAAAAAAGTTTGAAATTATTTTAAAGATTATATAGTAAAATCCAAGTAAATTCTTATGTAATAACTTTTAAACTCTAACCCTGATTCCTGCCTAAAACATATATGTAGTTGATGGCAATTCTCTAAACTCATAAGGGTCCTTAGTTGCACATGATACGAAATAAATATGACAACATAAGTAGATAGATATAATATAATAGTGATAATAAAGACAATATTTTATCATGTGTTTGACGGACACATTATTAAAACAATACACATATTATTATAATATTTTATCATGTGCTTGACGGACACATTATCAAAACAATACACATATTATTATTTTATTGTTTTATGTAAATGATACACTAAGTGTAGCATATATGGGGAAATGTACGTATGAATTCCTGATTGAGGGTCATTGTTTTTATGATATTGTGCATTGATATAACCTTTCTTTGTTTGGATTTTCGAAAATTCTAGACATCACAGCTTGTCTGTCCTAGAACCTAAAAATATAAAGTCTTAATTGCAAGTTCATAAAAAAAATCTTTCACTTGAATTCAACAATCTTTCTTACAAATGTGACTGATCAGTAGTCTTGATTTATACTAAGATCTCATTTCCACTTTCTACCTAGTTCAACGATTTAATTGTCGAATCGAATTCCGAACTATTTTTGAATTGGTTCGGTTCATTGTCAGCCCTAATTCTATCTTTAAGTTCTCCCTAGCCACAAAAGTAAGGAGAGAAACTTGTTCCATTCTTCCGTACTAGCATGCGTGGTGATCCGTTTATTGCTTGTGGACAAACACTAGAAGAATGACACTTGATGTTCTCGAAGATCTCCATTTATATCTATAACCTTCGTGGATTCACACATCAAAGTTATATATATTCTTATACTTTATATGATTCATACTAATATATGCATGATAATCTTGGGATTAGATGTAAATAATGAGCTTCTTGAAATTCTGTTATAAGCATCTAAAGTCCAACATTTATCTCATTCACGACTGATTTGTTTTTCTTCCTTCTTTCTTTCTTCTATTTTATTGGTCAAACTCTATTTTATAATAAAATTAAGGCTAATGTTCTATTTCCCTTATCTCTTTATTCTCCATTAATTTAATTCATTTAATGCCTTGCTTGTTTCTCTTTCTTCTATTTCTCCGCTTGAACTTTTTTTTATAGTAAAATAATCTAAAGAATTTTAATATAACAATTTTTTTATAATTAGACAATTTTTTTCAAACAACACAATTCTCCCACCCCACCGCATTCTCTTGTGTTTGAAATTAAAAATAATCTAAAGAATTTCAAACACAAGAGAATGCGGTGGGGTGGGAGAATTGTGTTGTTTGAAAAAAATTGTCTAATTATAAAAAAATTGTTATATTAAAATTCTTTAGATTATTTTACTAT